GGGAATTCTGGGAGTTGAAGTCCACAAATCATAAAGTTGCTGAGGTTGAGAAACACTGGATTATTATACCTGGGCTGCACATCTCTAGATAACCACTGGAGGATGACAAAGAGATGGCCAAACTTTTCTGTCCCTTTGGTGCCATCTACTGGTCATCCCAATTTTGCAGCCCAGAGCCAGCAGCCCTATTAGGGCTCCCTGTTTCAAGATCCCGCAACTCTTCGGGCTTCGTCTCTGAAGGAGTTCCTGTTCCCATAACATAAAATCAGAAGTTCTTCAGGACTGGTGGACATCCCAGCCTGGAGGTTCTGAAATTGTCCACCTCAGGTCTAGCTCTCTCCCAGTGGAAGAGAGTCTTTTAGCACCAGCACAATAAGCATTTTTCTCCCCCCAGCCGTGGTTGTTCTTCCTCCCTGCTTTTTTCCCCATCCAAGAAATTAACCAGCATTTTGATCACGATGAACCCGAAGCATGGCTGAAATGCAGGACCAGCTAAGACTCTGTGGCTTCCTATCAGATGCCCGGCCCATAATTTCACACCAGTGTTGTAATCAATAACAACCATTGTTAGCTTAAACTTTCAGCCTGTTTCTGGCTATAGTTTAGCGATGTAGCACCACTGAACCAAATAACATGGGAGAGATGCCTTTCCGAAAACCTGGAGAACCGCTGTCACTCAGTGCATGGAAACGCCACTTGGAGGACTCACTTTGGGTCAACCTTAAGAGGCGATTTCGCAAGTTCCTTCCAGCAGAATCCAACCTGCATCAGTGTCATATTTCCAATATGTATCAGGCCCAGTCAGGAAATCGACACCGCAAGGATTCCAGAAATGCTCCTTTATTGTAAAAGGGTGTAACAGTAGAACCTTGAATGCTGGCCAGAGGTTCCCTCTGCTCTAATTCCAAGCAGAATCAAGGTGGGTTGTTCAAAGTTTCTTTCTCGCTTTCCCAGAACCCACTTCTTATTTTTCCTCCCTTCACGGCTCCTGCGATTTTTCGTCAAGCTTGTCTCTGCGTTCCTCTAAACCCGCGGTCTCCAAGTGTGGTCTGGGGACCCCTGGGAGTCTCCGAGACCCTTTCAGGGGGTCCGCAAAGTCAAATAAATACTTTAAAATGTCTCTGTTTCAATTTCTAATACAGTCACTATCGAGAGATATAACCCATAGACCAAAGCTCTGGGGGTCCTCAATCATTGTTAAGACTGCCCAGGGGCCCCGAGGCCAAAATCTACACTGTGCCCCAATCCCTCAAACCTTTCTGCCTTCTGAATGTCATTTGAATTGGCACTTTGATCTTATGAGATTTAAAATCTGGGGAGCTATCTTAAGCATCTGCTGGAGTAGGAAGGTGGCATATGAATTAAAAAAAATCAGCTTTTCTGCAACTTTTCTCCAGTCTGGATCTCCCTAGCTGTGCGTTGAACTGTGAGTCCTGTTCTCACCTAGCCTCATCGCTGGAAACTAGAAGCAGAAGACCTCCCTCTTCAATTACGGAGGGCCCAAAGAGAACCCAGAGCACAAACATATCTCCAAAGACCACTTACTTTCTGCTCCATCTCTTCCGCCGCGGGGCTGGGGGTGGCCGCGTCGGCAGCAGGACCCTCGGTGGATGCCATGCTTGTGATGAAGGGCAGCTAGAAGAAAGAAAACGCGTAAGAGCTTACACTCCAACTTTATCTAGATAAGGCTGGAGTAAATTCCAGGCAGATAAAGGTAACCTGTGACCACGGCTGAAGGTTGCTTCAGGAACAAGGATCAGAACCTTTGAAATCATCCACGCGGCCCATTCACAAGTCCCAAGGCGAGGGACCTGGGGACGCAGCGGTTGCTCCTTATGTACACTGTACTTTGGCCCCCTACTTTAGACCCAAAGCTTCAGCGACCGACAGCACATGCCCCGGCCGATCCGGGATGATCTCCGCTGCTAGGCGGGGCCCCTCCTCGTTATCCCTTAGATGTGAGACCACTGCCTTAGATTGGGAAGTCAAGCAACACCCACGAAGGGGCAAAGATCAGGGGAACAGCAACCCCTCCAGACTTTTATCGTCTCTATTCTGGGGATACAACGGGGGGGGGGGGGGGGAATCCGCCAAGGTTTAGAAGCATCTTCCAAAAGCCGTGGCAGGACCGATGGCGCCTGTTCAGGGCCCCACCGGCTTTTCGGTCCCCCATTCCCGGAGAGGTTGAGATTCCTCGGCCTTTGAGAATAATTGTGCCACCCGAGTTCCACCCAACAGTCCGCCTTGGCAAAGCTCTCTTCTGCCCAGGGGTGGGGTCCTTTCTGCCTACCTGAGCAACAGAGTTGGCAGGCTGAAGATGGAGATTTTTTTACATGGATTTACTGGCCGCCCCACTCCGATGCAAGGGGTCCGTAAGAAGCGGAAGGCACAAATGTGGCTGGAAAGCGAAGGGGCCAGAGACAGAAACGGAAGGAAGCCTTGGGGCGTTCCGATCCCTTTCGCGTTTTCACAGAGGACCAATTCCCCACCCCAGGAATCAAGACCCCCCTTCCAACTTTGCTCTTTAAGTATTTGCTACTGGCCAAGCCCGGGAGAAACTTAACAAATCTGCCCCACCCTGGTGGGGGAGAAGGGATTCTGTCCCTCCCCCCAAAGATGCAAAAGGTCTTTGGCCTGAAAGACTCAACCCTTGCTGGCCAACCAGCTTTCACAGCTGCTCTGTTGCATCACCCATTCCTCCCCCATCTCTGGGGCAAAGAATTGTGACTTTCACCCAGAAAGCAATTTTGCAAGAAACGCTTGACAATGAGTCAACGGAGGACCACCTCCCCCCACCCCTTCACCGTTTGCTCCGGATTCCCACATTTCACTGCCCCACCGCCTGCCTTTGGGTTAGGGTTACAGAAATACAGGATGGCAAAGTTGAGGTAGCGCTCATGGTGAATGGCTGCACTAGGACAAGAGTACCTCTGAGCGTAAAACAAAAATGGAAACTGTCGGTTATCCGCTGCCTTGGAACACGCACACCACACAGCCACAACTGTTTCGTTTGGATTAGTCCTTGGACAAGCAACACAGTCCTATCCACACCCACCAGGTTCCTTGTCCCACCTGGTTTTTAAAAATATTCTTTTTATTAAAGGGAGTTGCAAAGCACCATGCTTCTGCCACTGGCTTGTTTGCACCCACACTTTCTTGGAGCCTGCAACGGTCCCAGTGAGATGGCGGGCAGGATGCCAGACAGCAAGCCTGCTTTTTGAAAAGGGGTCTCTGGTAACTGGACGGCCATTTTGCAAATCGCCAAGTCTTCTAGGGAGGCCATTTTGTGAGCAGCCCCCCCTCTAAATTCCAACATGCTGCCAGCACCCAACCCCCAAAGCCACTTGTATTAGGCAACTTGATGGAGCCAAACCAGGAGAGGGAAGGGCTTGGGCCCCGTTGACCCCCCAGCGTGCTTAAAGGCTGGGGTGGGCAGCATCTTTGAAATCCCCTTCTAGAAGGTAACAGCAATACAGGTAGTCCTCACTTAACCATTCGTTTAGTGACTGTTCAAAGTTACAACAAAGGGACTTACAACCGGGCCTCGCCCTTAAAACTGCTGCAGCATCCCCCGCAGTTATGTGATCACGATCCAGGCGCTTGGCAACCAGCTTGCACATACGATGGTTGCAGTGTCCTGGGGTCATGGGATTGCCATTTGCAACCTTCCCAAGCAAAGTCAATGGGAAATTGTGTGATTTGCTTAATGACCACTGCAAAAAAAATTTGTAAAATTGGGTATGACTCACTTAACAACCACCCTGCTTAACAACAAATTTTCCAGTCCCTATTGTGGTCATTAAGTGAGGACTACCTGTAGCCAAAAACCAGCAGTTTTCCATATTTAGGAAAGTACGTATGTATGCAGGCCTATAACAACTTGATTTCTATGCTGAAACTGTGACTTGCTGATTTTATTTGACTTTTAACAAGCCCCCTCCCCAAAAAGAATTTTAAAACCTGGACATGAAGATTGCCAGTTCTTGTAATACACCTCTGTTAAACCAAACACGCGTAAATCCAGCTATGGAGGTGCTCCAAAGGGGTAACAGATTATATATTCTGGTCAATTCAAGGTGGTAAACTTACTTAATATTCCTATTTTTCCCAGAACAACCACCCTGTGAGGTGGGCCGGGCTGAAACTGCCCCGTCAATGACTTGTTTTTCTCCTTTTCAGGAGTCCCACGGCCAAGTATTGGATGGAGCCTAATCTCAAAATAGGAACTCAATGCTGACGCCGGGCTTAGGACACATTTGGACACCCTTCCCCCACCTTTGGAAGATTATTATTTTTATTTATTTAACCATCTTGCCTGAGAATAGATCCTACTGGTGTCATCCAGAGCAAACATCACCTAAGCCAAACCAAAAATGGCCCCAACACGTTTTTGCAGAATTCCTCCGACGTTGCTTCAAATCATCTCCAAGTCACTGGATATTTCTGATTATTATTTTTTTTTTTTTACAAGCCCCTTTCTTGATTTAACTGTCCTTTCAAATTCGCAGCAGGACTGGCCTGGCCTGGCCTTAACAGATGACGAGACAGCTTAAAATGTTAGAAAAGTTAAAAGAAAAGAAACGGTAAACAGGGGCCGATGGATGGAAGGGGGTGCAAAGATTAGAAAAGTGGGCATATGACCTCACCCCAGAAGCCCCCATGGTCCACAAAATCAGGAGGAGTCTGGTAGCATCTTTTCTGATTCAGAGATTTAATTAAAAGGCACGAGGCACAGCTTACAAAAACTTATGCCTTTTACTGGAATAAAATGGGTCGGTCGGAAATGATGCTAATAGCTTAACATGTACACAGTTTAATCATCCAATGTAATAATACTTCAAATATACTAAAATCAGTGTTTTTCAACCTTGGCAAGTTTAAGAGGGGTGGACTT